CAAAGGTTACAGATACACCAATCCAACTGATCGACAGAGACAGTTACCGTAACACAGACCTATTTTCCAAAATTCGTCATTTATGGGATTTGAACTCTAGACCTGCCACTTGAGGGTTGACAACCTGACCACTTTACTAAGTCGCCACACCCTTAGGTCTTTTGTTTTATTTGAACATAAACTATCATTAATTAATAGTATTCTTTTTTTTTTTATTACTGTAAACAAATTCATAATTAATACTTTTAATATATTGTATATAAATATTAAAAATCAAATTTGCATAATATACAAGTTAATTTCTATAGATCATGCAATATCATGCAAGTCCAATTAGATTCAATTTTAACTCAGATGTCAATTTATCTATGCATCTTAATCTATAAATAAGTTATGTTTTCTTTATACTTATACTAACTGATTTAACTCTTTTTTTTATATTATATATCATACTTTACTTAAGTATATGTTAGTAGAATTTAGCTTTTATGTTGATAATATACCATACTTTTATTTGAGCCATGTTAGTTGATATACTTTTTTTTTCGCTTATCTTTTATTTAGTAGTAACTATAATATTGTTATTGCTTATTAAATACAACAGCATTATATATTAAAATCTAAAGTAGACTATTATATAAAAACTGTTTTCTTGTCTTTTTCATTTTTTTGTTAAATCAACCAAACAACTAATATTACTAAAAACTTTTTTTTTTTATAAAAAATTTTTGAAATTTTTGATCTTTTTTTTTGGAAAACAAAATGCATGAAAAAAGTGCCCAAAAAATTAGAATAGTACCTCAATATCAATCAGTTTCCTCTATCATGCCACCTTGACAAAGCTATTATTCGACACCTTCATGAAGCTAAAATCATTCAAAAACAACTTTGTGAAGCCACAAATGATCACCAATGCCACCTCATTCAAATCAATACCAATGATCTATTTGCAGGTCCAAATTCCACTCTCCTTCACATAAAAGAAATTATAGCTGATTCAATAGACATTCTAGGTCACCTGATAGAAATAATAGAGGTACTATTAAGACTTTTTTTTTTAATAAAGCTATTTATATACTGATAGGTCTAATGGTTTATATTGTAATACTAGAGATCAGTTTTTTGAAAAAAGCAGTTCATTCGTTAATAAGTGAAGTAAAAGAACTAAAAAAAGCTTTCCAATATTCAACTCCAAGCATATATAAATAAGGTAACAATGTATATAATTATCAAGGCAATGAAGGCATTGAAACTACTAGTACTACCAGATTATTATTTTCACTAGAGAACTGTGATCTAACAGACTTGAAAAATGAAACTAATAATAATTATCTCATCAACAATGCTGGTAGCAATTATCATACCATAAACAACAACTATTAAAGTTGCAATACTGCTACTGACAATGCTAGTAACAGTATCACCACCTCTCAAAATGGTACCAATAGTACTAATAATGCCACTAGTAATAGTCTTATCACTACTGATATTGAACCCACCACTATCACTGATATTGTACTAATCACTACTACCACTAATATTGCATCCACAACCATCACATTAAACAAAGACAAACAGAAACAGCAAGCCAGTGATAATAACAATAATAATTGGCAAAAACCATTAGTGTCTTCTGAACCACCTACCAGTTATCCTAAAAAGTTATATGAAATATTGGAAGAAATAAATAAAGAGCAATACAAGTTGTTTTATATATGTATTAGTATATGAAAATTGAATTTGTATTTAAAAGTAATTATAGAGCTATCAGTTTATTGAATATTTATTTTAATATGCAGAATGAAGTGCTTCAAATAACAGATGGCTTTGACAAAAGGTTACATATAAACTATACAAAAAATTGGAGTAAAATAGCTTGCTTCATAGTCATAAAAACTATGCCAGCAATTAGAAAGGCTCTAGAAGTCAATTTTAGATATAAATTGAGCAAATTAAAATACATTCTAAAAAGCCTTTACTGACATTGTCAGGAAAAATAAAAAATTGATAATGATTCGGAGAGATTAGTGAAAAATAAAAAGAGAGTAGACATAAATAGCAGGCATCAACCAGTTTGTATAGGCCTATTTGATTAATCAAAATAAGTTATATAAACTTTGCAAGTTTATATATTTGTATTATACAAAAATCTATTTTGTTTTACTATAAGCATCATAATACAAATATAATAACTTACAATATTGTAATAGCCCAATAAGAATTAATTTAATATACTATTGATCAACTGATATTAATTATGTTTATTCTAGAAAAATAGAAGAATCAGAAGTATATACCATATGCCTAATACCTACAATAAAAATCTCACTGATTTTGCCCTTCTATGTGTTGAGATGATTTTAGAAAAGACCTTAAAGAGGTTGTTAATGATGGTGAATATCATTTAGATGAAATATCTGAAACCAATTATGAAAAATCACAAGCTAAACATCATATGAAGATTCATTCTGAATCAAAAAAAGTAACTAACTATTATGTATTTCATGTTCATGATAAGCCATGGAGATCATGTAGGGTAAGTAATTGTTATTTTTATGATTATTATAATTATAATTATATTATTTTACATTTTTTATTTCTTTATTCTATATAAATCAGATAAAAAAGATTTTGTGGCTTGCTGATAAAGTAGGAAAATAAATTTTGCATATTAAATATGTCAGAAAATGATAACACATTGATAGCAGATAGTTTGATAAATCAAAACTGCCAGTTGATGCTTCTAGTTTGACCATTTCTTTTTCTTATCATTTTGATGAAAAAGGAGAAGAAGAAATAGATGAATTGGAAAGAAATAAAGATGATGAAAATGCTGCTACAAGCAGCAGCCAAGCTGCTGAAATAACTGAAATTTTTAACAAAAGAACTAAAGAAAGTAATACAAATGCTAGTAGTAATAATGTATTAGGTGATTGAATTATTAATTCACCTAGATTACACCTTAATTTTTTGAAAAATATAATCAATTAAATATATTACATTTAGCATAGTATTTTTTTGAATAATAGCTTTAGTATATAGCTTATTGATTATTGCTTTTAGTATAGGATATAAATATATGAATGTATATAATAAAAATAATGTTATATCGATAGTAAATATATTTGGTTTTCTATTGCTTTAAAAAATTTCTAGTATAACATTTAATAAAAACTATGGAATTGAATATAATAATAGAAAACTCAAATAAAAAGCCATATTGGAAACTGGTATATATCTGTAATTAATCTGATAGATTTCTGAACTTTATCTGGTTATTTAAAATATAGTAAAATTAAAAAGGCTATCGGAAAATTAAAATATAAATCAAATATACTGATATGGCTATAAAATATGTTTAGAAATGATCTAATAGGTTTCTAAAATTAGTCAAATATCTGTAAAATATAGGATCAGCATTGGTAAAATATCAGATAAATTTATCAGACTAATATTATCTTTATATTAGTAAATGTTTAGTAACTATCAGATTTCTGATAGTTTACTAATATCTCTTTGTTCGACCTGTGCACAAAATAACTACTTAATGGTTACATATTTGAACTAAATTTTTATAGATAGAATTACAATCACCTTTTATCAGAAGTTAATATGCACTTTGGTAATTCAGACCATATTCTAGTAAGATGCATACTGAAATTCAAACAAGAGTCTAAACAGCCCTTAGTCTGAAAGTTTAATAAAGAATCTTTTAAAAATGAATTATTAAAAAAAGAGATACTAGAAGAAATCCAAGATGCTAACTTAGCAGAAAATTAGGATTTATGTAAAATCTATATACAATCAATTATCAAAGCCTTTTGAAAACCCAAAGCTCCTGAAAACAAAATAGCAAGACTAAACAAAAACATTACAAAGCTAAGCAAAGAGCTTGTAGCAGATTCTTTAAAAGAATACTTTAATGAAAACATAGAAGAACTAAACCTTCAAATACAAGAAAAACTAACCAAAATAGCTAAGTCATAGTTAATTTAGTCAAAGACAAAATGAATTGAAAATGAAAAAAAGTCAACAAAATACTTCTTCTTAAGATACAAAGCAAAAAAGTCACAAAGTGCTTAGTCTAGAATTGAAATATCTGAAACTTTAAGTTCAAAAAACAAAGATATATTTACATATATCAAAAACCAATATGAAAATCTACAAAAAAGAAAACTATATCCACTGATTTAATTTTTAGAGTTATAATTTTAATAAAAAAGGACCTTGATTTTAATATAATTTTATCAAAACAATACTCCAAAATTAAGATCAAATCAACTGATATACATTATTTTATTATATACTTTTTATGTCTAACTAATCATTTGTGGGATCAACTAATTTTTCAAACTATAGGTATGTTCTATATAGCTGAAATATGCTTTTAAAAAAATCTTTAAAACTAATTTAATATATAAAACTTATCCCTTAGATTGTAAATTTTTGCAGGCAAATTTGCCTGCATAATTGTATTTTTTTGGCTCTGATCTATTTTTTTAAAATATTAAAGTATCTAAATAAAATTTG